TAATGTGAAATGTACCGAATGTATGCGTAGATGCGACCGCACTGGCAGGCTTGTAAACACTGGCGCTGAGGCCACACGTGGGATGAGTTCCGGATGAATCATGTAAGGCGAGTTTTTTTTATCGTGAGGCGAGGCAAAAATTTTACGTTCAAATGCTTCGTATGGCGTATTTAACGTAATGCGATGCGTTCGTAAGGTGGGGGGTCCACTGCATTGCCCTCCAAACTGCTGGCTGATGTGTTAATAAAAAAAATAATGGTGGAATTTAGCCACACAGCACAATAAATATATTTAATCATTTCACTGTCAAGCCCCCTGCTCACAAACTTGTTCTCAGTGTTGAATTTAAAAAAAAAAAAAGGAAAATTCTTAAGAAATTATAGAGAATCTTTTTCCCAATGGTAATGACACCAAAAGTACAAAATTTGATGGAAAACTTGTGAAATTACGCTCGCATGTAGTTAACAATCTCGGCAATATATGCATCGGTGATTACACCCACTTTGAGTCCTATTTTCGGCCAATTCCATTCTTCCAGTCGACCAAACTCATAGCCATTTCGCTATAATTTCATTTGTTCTATCGAATGAGTACAAGAAATTCCCCATTTACTGATTTCAGCTACCCAATAAAGTGGTCAGTAATGGGCAGTTTGGCCAATTTCGCACAAAATTTCAAAGATGCCAATTTCAAAATAGGGTCCAGAATAAACAGTGCAGAAATTCCTGGCACTAATAAAACATTTTATATGTTCAGTAGTCACATCTCCAGGCCCCTCTTATATTACTTTTGCTTTCCCTTTTGAATTTTTATGCACACAAAAAATAGAAGATTTACTGTTACGCAGACAACTGCATTATTGTAATAATTGTGTAAATAATGTCAACCCATTTGTCACTGCATATTAGACTGGCCAGTTGGACACGTATTGGACAATGATGTCATTTGTTTAATCTTGAACATCGGGAAAAATCGAACATTTCCTCTACTTTGAGCTCAGTTTCGAGGTACAATGGAACTCCGGTTTTCGTACAGTTCGAATATCTTACAATTCGGATTTAGAAAACTTTTGGGTGAAATTTTGGTCCGGTTTCATACCTCTACCCGGAAATCGTATATCAGATGCGTCCACTTGTATGTCTGTGACTTGGTCTGCTTTTGTAATGACGTATTTTATTTGTTCTAGAGTATATATCATGTTTCTGTTATTAATATTGTTTCTTATGTCATATTAGATGAATTGTGACAGATAAACAAGCTGTAGAGTTGATATTAGCATCATATTCAAGGATTTTGCCCTGTCTCCAAACAATACTCGACTCCCTTCCTCACTTTCTTCCATAAGCCAACAAGACACTTCAATAAAGGTAAAAGTGATTTAAATGTTCATATATCCACTTCATTAGTCCTTTATATTTATTTCTCATTGTTTATTGTATGTAAAACTATAGTTATTCTCTCTAAAATTTATTTTTTGTTAATACTTTTGGGTGTCTGAAACGGATTAGTTAGATTTACATTATTTATGGGAAAGATTTCTAGCAAATGAGAACAAGAATTTGAGAATACAGCCATAAGTACCATACAAAAATACACTTGAAACACTTAATGTAGGAAACTAGTGTACAGTTAACCCCTAAGTTGTGTTGTGGGATACCTTGGAAAAAAAAATCCTGTCTGGAAGGATTTTGAAAAAAAAAAAAAAATTCTTTTTTCTGAATCGAATAAGACTAAAAAGGAATGAAATCTGATAAAATCTATTGTGGAAGTTGGTGAGAAAACAGCTGCATAAACGCTCCAGTAATATTTACCTTTGTCAGTTTATTGATACCCAGATGCAATTGTTTTTCTTAATTGCTTTTAATGTTTAATGCTATGTACACTAGTTTATGATGTTTGATGTATTTACAGGTTAGGTAAGGTTTCAGGAAACAGGACAGTGCTTCCTCAATCGGGTCTTAGTCATATGACCCGCAGCTGGAGCTTTGTCATCTGACTGAGGCCTTCTGCTGGCTTACCGGTCCACCCCTTTAAAAATTGTGGTTGCGGGCGGTCCGGTGCGGGTCACCGTCCGCCCGTACCTTGGATCTACATTAGCCCTACTGTCTGCTGTCTCGCTCTAAGCTTAGGGTTTGGCTTTGTCGCGAATAAAGCTGAGCTCTAACTAAGAGTTGGATGGTTGAGAGGAAAGGTGGTCCCATTATATGGTGCCATGGTGGCACGGTTACCAATGGGCTGTGGGAGCCTATTCCTGAGCCCTCTTGGGGTGGGGGTGTGCAAAAAGGATTTAGGAGTTCTGGTTAACAGTGATCTAAAACCCAGTCAACAGTGCATTAGTGTTTGCAATAAAGCTAACAAAATTTTTGGCTTCATATCTAGAAGTATAAATAATATAAGTCCTCAGGTTGTTCTTCAACTCTGTATATCCTTGGTTAGGCCTCGTTTAGGCTATGCCACTCAGTTCTGGTCACCGTATTACAGAATGGATATAAATGCTCTGGAAAACGTACAGAGGAGGATGACAAAGAAATCAGAAATCTTCCCTATGAGGATAGACTGAGGGTCTTGAATCTGCAATTTTGAAAGGCGTAGAATTAGGGGGGATATGATAGAGGTGTATAAATGGAAAACAGGAATAAATAAAGGGGACGTAAATAGCGTGCTGAAAATTTCCAGCCAAGACAGGACTTGCAGCAATGGTTTAAAGTTGGAAAAATTCAGATTCAGGAAGGATATAGGAAAGCACTGGTTTGGTAATAGGGTTGTGGACGAGTGGAACAAACTCCCGAGTACAGTTATTGAGGCTAAAATGTGTAGTTTTAAAAATAGGTTAGATAAATACACGAGTGGGTGAGAGTTAGACCTGACTAGCTTGTGCTGCTGGGTCTGGTGCTGTGCTCCTTCCTTGAGTGGAGGTGACCAGACAGGGTGGGTCATTGGGATAATCCGGGGGGGGGGATGGACCTGCTCCGCATGGGTTAGTAGGCCTGTTGCAGTATTCCTTCCTTCCTTATGTTCTTGTGTAACCTTTATTTGGTGCATATACACACCTTCATTGAAAGGCTATCTCCCCAACCAGCAAACCAGTACTAGGGATCGAACGATGGGGCCCCATTGTTCGATCAGTACCCAGGTTCAGCCAATGAGAAGATGGTTCTGGCAGTCAGAGGTGTTGTGGGCACCACCCGCCTGTCTACCCTTGTCATTTCCATTCTAGAGCTGGTTGAGCACGGTTGTCCATTCTGTCTCCAGGCTGTCTTGGCCTTTCCTAAACCGTGTTAATGTTGAAGTTTGAAAACTGTAGTGTAAAGCACCCTTCTGGCAAGACAGTGATGGAGTGAATGATGGTGAAAGTTTTTCTTTTTCGGGCCACCCTGCCTTGGTGGGAATCGGCCAGTGTGTTAATAAAAAAAATAAAAGTGTCCATAGTTGCAGATATTCACGTTGCTTTTGGTGAAGGAAAATGCATTTCAGTCATTCAGCTGTGTTTGTTCTATTCCTCGCTCTCCTTTACACCCAGGATAACAGGCCTTATTGTCCCTGGGTTGTAATAATCATTTATTAATAATAATCTTTTGTTTACAGGTGTTTCAGCACTCCAAACATGGGGAAACACTTAGCCTAACATTGCTTTGCTTGGAGTAATTACTAGATGTACTGTATTTTTTTTATTTTGGCCTTGTAAGACTACGTATGATGAATACTTAAAATATTACAATCATTTCAGTGTAATATTCCTCAAAACGTGGAAATTATTCATTATTTAACTTGGTTAAATATACTTACTGTGTTTTGTGGCTGAATTCCATGGTTAGTATCATTAAATTATAATAAATTTGAAGTGAATTAGTCATTGTGCCACTTGTACACCTATTGGCTGGTGAAGCTGGTGGTGGAACAGCAGCACCTGGTTTGTTTACTTTTGCTAGTTAAGCGTACTAGTACGTCGGACACAGGCATCACCTGAGTAGTTAACCACGATACATTGTGTGGACCCTGCTGGCATTAGATTTTTTCAAATGTATATGATTACATGGAAAAAAAAACAAAACTGTCAAAATCAACAATACTGGCAGGTGGCAAATTGGGTATAAAAAATTATGCATACTTATACATTGGACACGGGTAAAGGGTTAAACATTAAAAGCAATTAAAATATACTCATATCTTAGCATCAGTTGTTTTAATCAGATTCTACTTATTTTAGATTCAGAAAAATACTTTTTATATAGGATTTTTTTTTCCAGACTCATCCCATACAAGAATTTTTTTTTCCTTGGTTATCCCACAATTTAAAGGTTAAATTATCTAAAGTTTGAAAGGTATTTTATTTTTCATTAATAGTATAAAAATCTTGTTTAACTTTGTTCACTTGACATAATAGGCTTAAAGTATGAATCCTTAATTTTCTATTATGTGACAGGCTATGTAACTCTTTTCCTGCCCCTTTGGTTTTCTCCCATGTCATGTTCCATAAGGTGCACCCATCTAGACCACAGACCCCATTGTAGATAATCTTTTCACATTGCAGCTTGTCCTAAGGATTTTAGTAGTGTCCCTGACCTCAGTCTTTCAGGATTTGATTTGAGTTATATATGGTAATCACTGGTGTTTTCAGAGACCTCTTGTGTAGGGTTGAATGATTTGATTTGTTTACATTTATTCATCATGCTCAGCTGACCCACTCTTCTGTTATTAGTTTATAGGCGAGTGTGTAGGTATGTAAATGGTTTTTCTTAATTTTCTTTTCTGTGCAGGATAGGTCATAAAACAGATGATAGAGGGAAATAGCTAGCTTTTGTTCACAATGCAGTGTAACTAATACAATAGGGTACCCATGTGGCACTTGTATTGTGAAGCCTATTAAATTATCTGTAGCTCACTATTAGCATGAAAGTAGGTGTCCTGTGAAGTTCATTGAAATTTAAGGCAGGCAGTTATTGGTTGTAAAGCTAGACTGGAATTCACTGTCTACTATTTATTTTGGTGTATATTTACAGGTTAGCTGCTGATATTGGCAAGGGCCCTGAACAGCGTGAATTCAAGGGTTTGGGAGATTGCCTTGTGAAGATCTTCAAAGCTGATGGCCCCATTGGTCTCTACAGAGGTTTTGGTGTATCAGTTCAGGGTATTATCATTTACCGTGCTGCATTCTTTGGGTTCTACGATACTGCTAAGGGCATGCTTCCTGCAAAGAATAGTGGAATCTTCATTTCTTGGGTTATTGCTCAGACAGTAACCACAATCTCTGGCATTATCTCCTATCCATTTGATACTGTGCGTCGGCGCATGATGATGCAGTCTGGTCGCAAAGGAGGAGATATCATGTACAAGAACACAATAGACTGCTGGAGGAAGATTGCCAAGAATGAGGGTAGTGCAGCCTTCTTCAAGGGTGCCTTTTCCAACATCCTTAGGGGTACTGGTAAGTACAGTATTGTAGCAACCTGTTGTAATCTCCAATAGTTCATATATTTCACTAAGTGAATTTCCCTAAAGTATATCCTGTATTTTATCTTTGTGTCTTTAACCCTTTGAGGGTCGACAGGCCCTCTCCGAAACTCGTTCTCAGGGTCGGCCAAATTTAAAAAAAAAAAAAATTATTTTCTCTTATGAAAAGATAGAGAATCTTTTCCCGATCATAACGACACCAAAAGTTTGAAATTTGATAGAAAACTTACGGAATTATGCTCTCGCAAAGTTAGCAGTCTCGGCGATGTTTACGGATCGGCGATTTTGCCCACTTTGAGCCCCATTTTCGGCCAATTTCACTGTACTAGTCGACAAAAAAACATGAATATTTCGCTAGAACTCCATTTTTTCTATCGAATGGGTGCAAGAAACCACCCATTTATAAATTCAACTATCCAGTACAGTGGTCAGAATTTAGCAATTTTGCCAATTTCACACAAATTTCAAAAGATGCCAATTTCGGAATAGGGTCCAGAATAAACAAGAAAGACATTCCTGGCACTAAAATGACATTTCCTCTAGTCATTAGTCACGTCTCAAGGCCCCTCTTATATTCTTTTGCTTTCCACTTTGAATTTTTATTCTCACAAAAAATATAAGATTTACTGTTATGCAGACTACTGCATTAGTGTAAAAAATGGTATAAATATTATTGGTGCACTTGTGAAAGAATATTAGACTCACCAGTTGACGTGTATTGCACGCTTGGCACGATTTGTTTACTTTTGAAGTTTGGTAAAAATCGAACATTTCTGCTACTTTGAGCTCAATTTCAAGGCACCTTTCATTGTAAAACCAGTCAAAATCATCTCAATTTCAGTAATATGTCTTCCATTCTATAAAATGAGACCAAGAAAACTAGAATACAACAATAAATACTATACGAAAATACACTGCAAAGTCGCTGATTTATTAAAAAAAAATGGAAAAAGTTTTTTTTTTCTCATTATGCACCGTGTGCTGCAGGATTTTTTTTAGACTGTGCACACTGACCACATAGACCCATTCTTTCATATGAAGGCCTACCAGCTTTCTCCCACTAGATTTGAGGTCGTTAGAATTTATGAGTACTAGTACGTCAAAAACCCCTACGCGTAAGACGTACTAGTACGACGAAAACCCTCAAAGGGTTAAACTGAGTTTAATGGGGGTTTTGGAATGAAAAGTACAGTATTTTAATATACCTTTGAAGAGTTTCAAGAGTCTGTGTTGCAAAATTTTTGAAAAATAAGAAAAAATTTATGAAATGAAAGAATCTTTTCCCAATGTTAATGACACCAAAAGTATGAAATTTGATGGAAAACTTGAGGAATTAGGCTCTCGTGAAGTTAGCGACCTCAGCGCTGTTTACGAATCGGCGATTTGGCCCACTTTGAGCTTTATTTTTGGTCAGTTCCATTGTTCCAGTTGACCAAACTCAGCTATTTTGCTATAACTCAGTTTGTTCTATCAATTGAGTACAAGAAACTGCCCATTTACCAATTTCAGCTACTCAATAAAGTGGTCAGAAATTGGCAATTTGGCCAGTTTCACGCAAATTAAAAGATGTCAAAAATTTCAAAATAGGGTCCAGAATGAACAATGCACATTCCTGGCACTAAAATAACATTTTCTCTGTTCATCAGTCACCTCTCCAGGCCCCTCTCATATCACTTCTGCTTTCTATTTTGAATTTTATTCACACAAAGAAATAGAAGATTTACTGTTATGCAGACTACTGCAGTATTGTAATAATTGTATAAATAATGTCGACCCATTTCTGACTATTAGAATGGCTAATTGGACATTTATTGGACAATGATGTCATTTGGTTACTCTTGAACATCGGCAAAAATCGAACATTTCCGCTACTTTGGGTTCAACATCAAGGTTCTTTTCATCATGAAACCAGTCAAAATCATCTCGATTTCTGTAATATGTCTTCCATTCTATCAAATGAGATCAAGAAAATAAGAATACAGCCATAAATATTGTACAAAAATACACCTCAAACTCAGCATTATAATCCAAAAACACGATTGGATTTTTTTTTTTTTTTTCTTCATTGTGTGCTGCAGGATTTTTTTTTATACTGCACACACTGACCACACAGATCCATTCTCTCACATGTGGGCCTACAAGCTTTCTCCATTTGATTTGAAGCCGCTAGAATTTTGGAGTGTACATCAAAAACACTGGCTCGTAAGACGAATATGTAAGACCTAAACAGTCGGTAGTGATGAAACTGCTAGTGGTTTGTACATTCTTCTCTGACCTTTTCTGGTATGTCAATATGTATTGATCTGACATTAATGATTTCCACCTAATCTCAAATTGTACTGTTAATTCTTTTTCTCTTAAAGTATTTGTAATTTTTCACTTTCCCCTGCATGGTATTCTGATTATTTGGTAACAAGACTTTTATCAATTTTTGTCTTCTTAAAATCCATTGTACTCTAGGCAGTGCTCTTCATAATTACATCACTTAGACCAGAATGTCTTGAGTGCCTTGCTTGTTAATAACTTTTGTTGATGTTCCTCATGCATACACAGCAGTGGAGCCTCGGTTATCGATTTAATTCGTTCCAGATGTAAAATGGTTGACAATCACAGCAGTTTTTCCAATAAAGAATAATGTAAATAGAATTTACCCAGTCGAGATCCCAAATGACAACACAGTAATTTATTAAAAATGCACTGACTGCTACATAAAACTGTACAAATGAATACTAAAAGAAACTTTAACTGAAAATTTAACTGCCTCATACCTGTCAGTGGAAAGTTATTGGCATGATGGAAGCAGGAGGTGGAGGAGAGTAGGGGGTTTGTTACTGCCTGGAAGGAGTCTCCTAATATGTCGGGCAATTCTCCTTCTGGCGTTTCTTTTCAACACTAACGCCTAGTTCTGACTCACTGAATATCTCTAATTACCTGTCCAATCAGGTTTGTTTCAGGCTATGTTGTAACATTTGTCTAAATTGAGACATTACCCTATCATTGTACATGTTAAAGTCGGATGGCCACTGCTTTGTTTAGATGGTATTTGGGCATCTTCCAGAAGAGGCCTGTCTTGTCACAATTAAACACTTCTTGTGGGAGAAATCCCTCGGCCTCTGTGTATGTTTGGAATTAAATAATGGTCTCTGAAACACTATCACCGTGTAACTGTTTATCGTTTACCCAAATGAGTTTTTTTTTTTTTCATCCTCCTTAATTATTTGTGGCCTTTGCCTTGATATCACTTTTGCACCTTTTGCAAGGTCATCTGCTTTGTTTTCTCCCTTTGGCCCAGTATCATGCTGATTGTACACTGATTTACCAAGAAGTTTTGTTACATTAACCACACGGAGCCTATCTTCGTTCTTTCGAATCGCTTTATTTTTATTAAATTTCGAATCTTTTTTTTTTTTTTTTTTTTTTTTTTTAAACTTGACAGTGCTTTTTACAACTTTTCTTCTTGCTTTCATCTCATTGTCCTTTAGACTCATGATGGCTTATCTCACAAAAAAAAATTGCACCAAAACTGCAAAATAGCAAAAAAGTTAGGTTAGTTGCGCAACAAAAGTTCAGATGTTTACAGCACACGATTTAGTGGCTATACTGACTGAGACCCACAATGTTGACTCAGTTTGGCGAGTCTCTTTGTCCTGTTTGCATTGTCCGTCGATAACCAAGAGCACATCCGAAAATCTGGACACTTTTTTTTTTTCTCAAATTCCTCGTTCGAAAACAGATTTGTTCGACAAGTAAGGCATTCGACAACTGAGGTTCCACTGTAATAGGTTCATTCTTAGAAGTTTAGGGTTTCTACAGATTTGTTAAAGAGCATTGAGTGGACTTTGCAGTGCTTGGCAGTGAATGAACAGATACCTAAGGTGAACACTTAAGCTGCCTGTCTAATGGAGGGGAAGGGTAGCCTTTGCATACTCCTGGGACTGTTTCTAGGTGCAGGTTCCAAGGATCGGAGGAGAGAAACCCTACCAAATTGCTGGTCCTCTGCATCCAGCAGGCATTGTGATGAATGCTCCACTGCAAGGAAAATTTGGGTACTCTTATAGAAACAGGGCTACCAATTCCTTTATGGGACAGGGTCTGTGAATGGCATTGTAGGGCTGTGTGGAGCCTGTCTCCTCCAGGATAAGTAAATTTTTGTATTCAGGTGTTATTTGCCACCTGAGAAAGATTTGAAGCTAACCAGTTAGGTGTTTGTGGCATTGTAGTGTCCTAGGCTTTCATACAGAGGGACCAAGGATTGCTCCCCAGTAGGGGTTGCATCCTGGGGAGAAGATTAAAGTGCCTCAATGGATAAAAGTGTCCCCTGTGACATGTGAGCTTCTTTGGGCTAGCCTCTTCAAGGGGGGCTCCTTGGCATGGTGAAGAGGCTCTTGGTCTGAGGAATTAGACCTGTCGGTCTCCTTCCTCAGACCGAATCCCCCCTTCCCTATCCCATCCTCCCCTTTTTCCTTTCCTCATCCTCCCCACCCCTCCCTTTTGCCCTTCCTCTTTTTGGCCTTTGGGTTTTTAACCACAGGCACCCTAGTTCCTAGGTAGGGGAAAGGGTACCGGGGTTCATCCCATTCCGTTTAGGTTCTTGGCGGTGGCATAGTTTGCCATGGAATCTGGATCGCCTGGGGATGTCCCGATCCCTCTGCGGTATCCCGGAGAGTGTCTTTAGGTGTCTTTCGGGCGATGGGTGTATCTCTGGAAGCCACCTTTCGGATTCCGGGGGTGGTGGCCGAAGGAGGTATGCTTTGTGGCGGATATCCGGCCGCCCTCTTTTGTCCACCGAGGTAGCTCGGCATTTGTGAGGTTGCTATCCCAGATTGCTGATTTACTGGCATGAAGGGTAGGATATGGCACGGGTTCCATGCTGCATCTGCGCTACTAGCGGTGCTGAGGTCCTTGTGGCCCCTTCTTGATACCGCACCCCATTCTGACCCTTGTTTTTTGACCACTCTTCGGACACTCCTGATG